AACTGAGAAGATTTACAGCACCTACAACATGATGTGACAGACCGCTAGCCCACACACTTCAACAAGGATAAGAGAAAAGAAGCTTGGAACAGGGTTGCATACAACCGTACAGACCATCTTTTCTATACCTTCACTATTTCGCTTTTTAAGTTAAATATCTTGAAAATTCTTGACATATTTCTTCAAATTGTGGCCAAACAAGCTTTCTGCAACCATCCTTTCTATTTCGTATCACAGGTAGGGTCGTGAATAAGTTTTTTTGTTGAGGATTAAACTGACCTTTACATCTATCATAGAGATAAGTTGTTGAAAGCGTTGATCTCAAAGTCCCGGCTAATTTCGATTTTTGAACTGACGGCCCATTAAGCAGCGGGAGTGGTTCTCGTTTTTAATTTTTCATTAAAAGTAAGGTTGAATGCTTTGCAATTAATTTATTAGAATTATGTGTGATAGAATATCATCCTATGCAGACAACTGATTGTCTTCTAGAAAAGATAAGCGTGAGCCCAATTAAGCGATTAATCAATTTTAGCTAATTCAAAAATAAAAATTATCCGTTCAGTAACTTCTACTAATTAGCAAACTGAAATTTTGAGATCTGAGTGAGTGAAAAAGTAGGTTAATATACGAAACAAACGCGAAACTTTCAAATTTCCAGACTGTGCTGTGTCAACAAAAAGAATCAAGTTGTCTTTCATAATTTGTCGCATTATAATTCGGTGTCACTTCCCTTTAACTGAGGATAAAGAGTGTGCCGTAAACATTACATTTCCTCGCTCAACCTCGAATGATGTATAGCCTGTATGGGACACGAGCGGCAACAAATACCAAGGGCTTTTCATACTTTATCCGGAACATATCTAAGTTCTTGTTGACCATTAAATAAAGAAAACAGAGATTGAAATACCTTTCCTCACTTCGGATTTATCTCCCCGAATTCTTCGTTCTTCGAATTCTTCCACTTCCTTCAACAGCTCGTTTGACTCTGTTTCAGCCAGAATGCTCTTCACAACATCGAGATAGTCAATCTCAAGATTGTCTTGGTTCTCCAATTCTCTAAACAGCGAGCGAACATCCTCAATGTTGCCTTCACTCCCTTCGCGAACACTTTCCCTGCATATCGCGATCAGTCGTTCCACATCATTGAGTTCGTCGAGTCCTGAAATAACCTTTTCAAGCAAAGCCTTGTATTCCTTTCTTTTGCACTCGAATTTCTCCACCTTTTCAAGAAGAACCCAGTCTTCGACACCTTTTAACAACCTTTTCATTAGCTGGAGGTGATCGATACTTAAATTATTCTGTTCCTCTAACTTTTTACACAACGACAGAGTGTTGTGAATGTTGCCTTCGCTGCCAGACGCCAGCTTCCCTCTGCACATAAACAGAAGGTGATCGAGTGCATTCAGTTCGTCGAGTTTCTGGCTTATTGCGAAGACCAAATTATTGTATTCAGTGGAAGACATCTTAAAGCTATGTCTTTAGCAATTCTCTCTCCCCTTTGCAGATACCTTCGTGATTTACAATTCTACATCACAAAATGTTAATGATTGATGCGAAGCATCAGAGCGTTTTCCCTCACGTGACAAATTTGCATATGGTCATGACAACCGAGTTCATCCGCCATATTGTTGTTCCATAACAAAGTGCGTGTTACTCGTGCTAACCAGCAGCTGGGACATTCTGTACTACATTCTAGCGTTCTTAGCGAAGAAATTTAATTTTTGTCATCATGGTCCTTTGCCTCATTGTCGGATGTGGCAATAAAACGGGCAAGATACGGCCCACCGCTGAAAAAAAAAGGGTATTTCGTGTTCCGCGTGTTGTTGTCAACCAAGGAGCTTGCATGGAAGAGTTGACTGAGGAGCGAAGAAGAAGGTGGATTTCTGCCATCAGCAGAGAGGATGTTACTGACTCTATTTTAGAAAATGACCGGGTTTGTAGCAAGCATTTCGTGTCAGGAGAACCTTTTAAAGATTGGGACCGTTTTAACGTGGATTGGTGCTCTACTTTGTGCCTTGGGCATTCTAAACAACAATTGAAACACCCTGAGGCAGCAGAAGCTCGGTCTCGAAGAGCTGCCGAACGACGAAAACGTCGATCTGAGTTCCTTGAAAAAACGATAACAGAGAAAATGCTCAAAATTGACGAGCTGGGGAAGATTATTGAAGAAATACCTTTTTCCGAGGAGCTTGTGCTGGGTGAAAACCTCCAACAAGATTGAGCAACAGATGCTGGGCAAGCCAACAGTGAAATAGAAGATGAAAGAGAAGCATCGCTCGATCGTGAGCAAACAACGGTGGACGCTGGAACTCAGACAGTAAACTTAGATTTTATTGTAAAAACCCAAACTCATGCAGCAACACAAACTGATGAATTTGAATACTTATGGAAGGAGACAGTCGTCCAGCCTTTTACAGAAGAGTACTTTGTAAACAATGAAGATAGGGTGCGGTTTTACACTGGTTTGTCTAGTTTTGATGTTCTTGACACCACTTTTCGTTTTGTTATCCCGCTTGTAAGTCGAAAGAGCAAAACATTGACACTATTTCAAGAGTTTGTTATGGTTTTAATCAAACTAAGACTGAATGTTCCACTACAGGACCTCGCCTTTCAGTTTGGGGTCTCTCTCTCAACTGTTTCAAGAAAATTTACTACATGAATGACTGTTTTGGATGTAAGGTTATCTCCCCTCATTAGGTGGCCAGAAAGAGATGAGTTGTGGTGTACAATGCCAATGTGTCTCCAGTTTTCTTTCGGGAAGAAAACAACAATCATAATAGATTGTGTTAATGCTGTCGCATTAGATTAGTACAGCGGCATTTAGTTTAAATTTTGTTACCAGTCTTCGCTAAGACAAGTGACACATGTTTTCACTGTTCGAGACAAGGTTGTACCTCGTCCAACCTAAATGAATTTCAGGGCGTTAAATTTGCTTCAAGGATCTTATTGTCAATGGTTTTACTCGTCCTATATAAACGGAAAGACTAATGGAAATGGAGGGCGATGTAACAAAGAACCTAAGGAGTGATTAAAGGTACAAACAATTCTGTGAGGCTGAGCGTTTTTAATCTTCATGACAGTATTTATTACCGACAGTTACAGATTGTTTTGAAATTTCTATAAAGCGCCCTTCCAATCTGCTCTCAAGAGCAAAGACATTTTCGAATTATAGGCATCGCAATACAGTGAAAGTACTTATTGGAATGACACCTCAAGGATCAGTATGTTTTACTTCAAAAGCATGGGGAGGACAGACCTGATAAATACCTAACAGAGAGGTGTGGTTTTCTTAACAACCTCAAGCCTGGGGACCTCATGTTGGCCGACAGAGGGTTCACAATTAGTGAAAGTGGTGCTCTCTACCAAGGACAGTTAGGTATCCCAGCCTTCACAAAAGGCAAGAACCAACTAGACCCATTTGATGTAGAAAGGACACGGGGAATTGCCAATGTGTGAATACACATGGAGCATGTCATTGGACTTTTGAGGAAAAAATATACTATTTTGCAGTCAACTCTACCATTGGATTACCTCATCTGTTCTAACAATGCTGCAAACTGTCCATTGATTGACAGGATGATCATGGTTTGCTCAGCTCTGACTAATCTTTGCTCATCTGTTGTCCCTTTCGAGTAAGCTTTATTAATTCAACTTTATGTAATTAACAAATCTGTGGCTTAATTTAGCTTAATTGGGAAGTAAACTAGGTTTAAAGTGGCAGGAAGGTGCAAGTAAGGAAAATAACCCATCCCTTATTCCCCTGAAACTTTTCAGCGTACAACAAACCATTCCTCCCATAAAATTTACTAACTTAGCCTTATGTTTTTGTAATTTGAACAACTTGGGAAGATTCACTGTTGATTCAACTTTCTGTTCATTCCAAGATAAATAAATGTTAAAAGAAGTCTTGCCACAAACCAGTCAAAGTGTTCGACTTTGTTTCTAAAAGAAGTTTCATATCTTAAGTCATTACAATGTTGGAAACATTTGCAATAGACCATTCTTTTGGGAGTGATACAGATGTGCTCTCATTTTGCTGATATGAAATTACACAGTGTGGGGAGATATACCATAGGCTAGGCAAGTTGAAAAGGCAGCAGCAAATACCCCACAGTCACTGCCATTTTGCTGTTGCTGAACAGGAACCACTTGAATGCCAGTAAAATTTGCCTGTCCAACAAGATTAATAACCTGATCTTCTACTTCACTATAAATGATGTTATGGTATAGGCTGTCATATAAATTCACTGTGCCATCTCTACACCCCACCGATGCTACACACACCCAGTGATTTTTCCAAGTGTGTAAAATCTGAATAAAGTCACCATTGACCTGATTAAAGTTTCTGCAGGGGCCCAAAGTTGGTCTCTGCAGTCCCTCAACTCCAGGGTTCATTTTTCTAAGACATACATGTACTGCATGAATGATATTACCATCAAGCCAGCCATGGGGGGACAAAATCAGTTTGTAATCTTCTTCATTGAGATTTTCAAGGGATGCTGACTTTTCAGTAAGGCCTGTTGAAATTCCAGTGATCATGGCATCGTCATTGTCCAACTTACATTCATGTAAAGAAGCTTTGCATCTTTACCTTCCTTGCTATTTAGCTTGACTTTGCTCCCTGATTTACAACCCATACATTCCCATGTTGTAAGGGCATTGTTGGGCATCCTTTTGAAGTTTAAGCAAGCCAAATGAAAAAACTTTCCGCTTTCACACAATGGCTTATGACATTTCAGGAGTTTATCTGCAGGCAATGGCTTCCTTTTGCATACACATATGCAGTCCAGTCTGAGAGCTTCATCCAAAATTTCCTTCATTTGTTTGCCTTTCGATTTCTCATTTCTGGCTGCAGCATTTTTTTGGCACAGAGGACAAAACCACTTGTAGGTACTTTTTGGACTTTCAAGCAGGTTAAATGAAAAGAAGAGAAGAGACATGCTTGGTTGCTGCATGTCACAACAGCATCAGTAGTACTCTTTCTGCAAAAGCAAACAGAACTGAGGCCAGATGAGGGCTGAGACACATTTCTTTTCTGGGTATACCACCTCCCCAGGATTTCTGGCAGAACACAATAACTCCAAAAGTTATTTAGTTTGGGAACGACAGAATTCCAGTGACAGATATCTGGTAGAATTCTTTCTCAAAAGAAAGAAATTTGTTCATTAAAACTGCAAACAACAAAGTCACAGTAATTGTATCCAGTAGTGAATATTTGCTGTTGTGATTGGTAGTAGTATGCATGTTCTCTTTTAAGACTTGTGGTTCCACTTTCTGACTTCAAACATGAGTTAGACTTCTCAGGGTAATCTTGAAGCTCTGTATCTTTCAAACAGTAGGGGCACTCCACCTCCCCACACCCCTCACCACAGCAATCACAATAACAAATAAAGTCATGTGTAGCGTACAACCGGGGATATTTTTGATTAATAAATGTACCACAAGTTTTAACATGAAAGTTGGTGCTTTTCCTTCATGACCATCTGATATGCTTTAATTGCAATGCTCTCATGTTTGCAACCGTGTTCTGTAGCTGCATTGCTGAACTTGAAAATGTCTGGGTAACATATTGTTTTTATTAATGATTGTGAGGGCTGTGCTGGATTGGTATGAGATGCTGCTTCAATAATTGATGCCCCAACTCCGCCAGCTCTGAAATGATAGAAACTGGAACCTTGGGATTGATTTCGGATACCTTCCTCTATGAGTTTCCTCTCTTCAACAGTGATTTGAATGTTAACATTTGAACATGCCTCCAACAGATCGTGATATTCTACGTCTAAGTACTTTTTGTCAAATAAATCGGGAATGGTTGGTATATTTCTACTCCTTGAAACAAAAGTTTCAGAGAAAGGATGAATCAAGCTCAGAGACACAGGCTTTGTTTTGCAAGAATTCAGTTCAGTATAAAAATTGCTGAGATCGGTCTCGTCTGGCACAGGAATCAAAACTCTTGCCGCCTCCCCGCTCTTTGAAATTCCATCTCTTGTGAAACTGTTGATAGTTTGATCAAGATTTTGCTTTAGTTTCTTTGCTGACCGAAAATCAATATCCGAAACGGGCGCGTAGGGAATTTCTTTGACAGCCTTAGGCATCAATCAGCTACATTTCACCTCTGTACATGACAGCTTCTCGTTCATACGATTCCATGCTTCAATGTAGAAGAATACACTCACGATATGCGAGCAGCACTGTCCTTGTCCTGCCATAAATCCAACGCAGTGTGCGAAGAGAACAGTACCATTTTCCTCGGTTATAATCCACAGTGTAACACACGGATCGTTCATTCTTTGCGAGTGCCTGACTTTTCCAGTAACAATGTAGTTTTTTCCTGTTTTGTGCCCTTTCACACAGCTCACAAACCCTGAAACGAGCTGATTACACGCTTGCAAACTCCGAAAAGCTTTAAATTGATCCTTGCTGTAGTAGTTTGTCTCAAGCACTAAAAATGATACCAAATCCATGGATTCGACCCGTGGCAAACATTCTAGATCATATGCTTTGTCT